GCCGCATGGAGAGCCGCAGCCGCAGCAGCCACAAGTGCTGCTGCCGCAGCAGCAGCAGCCACATGAGCAGCAACAGCCACAAGAGCAGCAGCAGCCACAAGAGCAGCAGCAGCCACAAGAGCAGCACCAGCAGCAGCAAACTAGCCAGCCAGCAGCTAGCCACGGGGGCCCTGAGGCTGCCTCAAACGAGGGCGGAGAAGCCCCAGCAGCAGCAGCAGCAGCGCCAGCAGCACCAGCAGCAGCAGCACCAACAGCAGCAGCACCAGAAGCAGGAGGGCCCCACAGGGGGTGTCCCTCTTGCCAGCAGCAGCAGCAGCAGCAGCGGGAAGCAACCCCACCAACAAACACAGTTTCCAGTGGGGCCCCACACCCCGCAGCAGAGGGCCCTAACTAAGCTGGCTAGCTAGCTAGCTAGCTAGCCAGTTGGCTAGCCGGCTGTCCAGCTAGCTAGCTAGCTAGCTAGCTAGCGAGCTGGCAAACTAACTAGCTAGCTAGCTAGCTAGCGGGCGAGCTAGCTAGCTAGCTAGCTAGCTAGCAAACTGGCTAGCTAGCTGGCTGGCAAAAGGTTGCTGGCTAGCTAGCTAGCTGGCTAGCTCACTGGTCACTGGTCGAGGTCTGGGCAGGCAAACAAGGGTTGGCTAGCTAGCTAGCTAGCTAGCCAGCTAGCTGGCTTTGATAGCTAGCTAGCTAGCTAGCTTGCATGGCTAACTAGCCAGCTAGCTGGTGAGCTAGCTGGCCAGCTAGCTAGCTAGCTAGCTGGGGCAGAGTGTTTGAGATCTGCTCAGATTGGTGAGCTTTTGCTGCAAAACAAAACTGCAAGATTGAAGAAAGTAAACTTCCTAGGGTTTAGGGTTTAGGGTTTAGGGTTTAGAGTTTAGATGCCAACTAGCTAGCTAACTAGCTAGCTAGCTAGTTAGGAAGATATATAGATAGATAGCTGGTGGCTGGCTAGCTAGCAGCTAGCTAGGCCGCTAGCTAGCTAGCCACCTTAGCAGCTGCCTAGCTAGGCAGCAAGGTAGGTGAGCAGCTGGCTAGCTGGCTAGCCAGCTAGCTGCTGGCATGGCAGCTAGCTGGCTAGCTAGCTGGCTAGCTAGCT